TTCCTCTGCGCGCAGCCTTGGGCAGTCGGCGTAATATGCTATTTTTCGCGCTCAACTTCATCTGGCGTCGTCGTTACGGGTCTTATAACTCTTTAAGGACAAGTTTATCGCCCCTTTAAAGCGAGCAACGGGTCGAGGCCTATTCGAGCGTCGAGAATGCCAAGCGAGAGAGTCTGACACTTGTTGCGAGCGTTGTATCGAGAGACGGGACGCTCGTGAATGTGTTTGCTTGTTTTCGCGTCGCGATCGCTTTGAACGTCGATTCGAACGACAAGTTCGTCAAACGCGAGTCGATTGCGCAAAGCAACAACCGAGAGTATCTTGGTCTTGGGAGCTCCGTCGATGTCGTCGACAGTTTCTTCAAATGAAAAGTGCTGTGGAAGAATGCAGCGCAAAGCGAGCGACGACGCGTTGTAGCGGTACAACGAAAAATATTCAAAGCTGAAAGTCCAAAGTCTCGCAGGCGCGTCGAGCGATCGTGCGTTGTTCGATATTGGCGTAAAATCTCGGTTGGACTACTAATCTTAGCGCTGGCTGTATAAGGGAGATGCTTTTTGAATTACGCCAGTAGGCAGTGTAATTTAGGTGCGTATGTAAACGGATGATGCGGCCGGGCGCGTGTGTCTTCTTTATTTTCCGCTGCTTCTTCGTGCCGATCGCAGCGACCTTTTTTTTGCCCACCAGTAAACAGGTTTTTCGCGAAGCTTTCAAATCTCTCTCTCTCTCTCTCTCTCTCTCTCTCTCTCTCTCTCTCTCTCTCTCTCTCTCTTCTCGCGCGCCACTGAGAAATGTGTTTGTCTAGTCGGCGAAGTTTTTCCTTTAATTTTTCCTCCTGAGAGCTATTCGATTTATTCGCGTAGGGGAATTTCGCTTCGTGGTATTGTAAGCGGGGAAAAATTGCGCCTCGCGTTAACGTCAATTACGCGCAAAAGAGAGAACGAATTTTTTTAGCCGGTGAAAGCGCTTCCAGACCGAATCCAATTTTGATGGGTCGAAAATTCGCCTACCGTCGATATAGAAATAAAAGGAAAAAATCTCCGTAACTTCGTTCGACGCGGGATAAACTGGGCCATCGCTCCACATCCCATTGTTGTTCATAAGCAAAAGTTACGCAGCCTCGATCGACTGTTATGCCTTGACCTCGAGGGCGGCGGCGGATCACGCACATACGCATCGCGCGTGCAAGTCTGTACTCACGGCGGGAATTTTCTTTTCGTATTTACATTGAATGCGCGTTGTGGAGGCCTTGTGAGCTTCCGGAAGGAGGGAGAGAGAGAGAGAGACTGATTGGGTCGTTGACTTGTTTTCGCGCGTAGTCTCTCTATAGTGTTTGTCTACGAAGGCTTTTGACAAGCTTGACAAGGTGTACTATTCGAAGGATTTTTTTTTGCGAGAGATGACATGTTGCGACACTCCCCATCGTTCAGCGGCATTATCATTTTAATGCTAATTTATTTGCATTGATTTGGTGTACAGTTTCGGCCACTACATGGCTATTGGCGATTCTAGACAAGACACATTAATCGTCACTCTGTATAATTGTGGTCGAGTCTACGTTATTCATGTCGCAAATTCAATCCTACCGTCGATTGGTTCAATGAAAACTGCTATTGCAGCATTTGTGAAATTGCAAAGCTCAGGCTCTTCGGAATGACTAGCATGCGAAAACAAATTGATAATCGTGCTCGGCGATGTGAGTAAAATCATACGTGAATAATGAATCCTGCGATTAGTAACTGAATGTCGCTCATTAAATTCAATTTTTAATTCTACAGAGCGAATGTGCGCAACGTCGAGGGAGAATAATAAATAAATTCATTACCATATTCATTAATTTTCAAGCCGCCTCGACGATTATCAATATGCCTCACTGTACACTTCCGCGAATCTTCGTCTTCAATTTCAACTTGTATTTACAATGGCGTGTTTTTCGCGCTCGAGACAAACCGTCGATTTATTCGTCTGGGGGGACAAACATAAATTCGCGAAAAAGTTCATTTGCAGTTAATCGCCCGACAGCAACAGTAACGAGCTCGCTTCCTGTCGTGCACGCTAAGAGTGTGAGCGAAGTACCGTTCGAGAGGGCGAACTCCGCGCTCGGAGGAAGTGTGTAGGAATTAATCACGATTCTCCGTGATTTTCGTCGGAAGGGATACACACATTTGTATATTTTTTTCTTCGATCGGAGCTTTCCATTTCAAAGTTCGACCGGTTTTGTTGGTTCGTTGCGCCGGTGTTAAGAGGCTGCCGCGTGCTACTTTTTCAGATGGATTTCGTGGCGCGTTTTCTCCGGACAACAAAGAGTGAAATCGATGTGTACGCCGGGCTGGTTTAGACGAGGACGACTCAGAGGCCAAACCTACGGCTTAGCGTGACCGATTGATTGTGCTTACTCGCGTATAGGAAAGTTCAGAGGCTAATGTTGACGTTTACAATACGGTATTTTTCTTTTTTATGGAAAACGATAAATTATTTGTTTAATGCGATCTTCAAGAATTTACATTATCAAAGTTGTGATTACGAACGAACCCTTGATTCGATGAACCGTTCGATCAAAGGTCACATATTGGAAAATCACTTTTTCACTTTTTCATCGACCAGAATCGCGTTACTTTTATTCTCCATTTGATCGATTTTCCGCCGAAGGTATAGAAAAAAAAGTGGTTTGACATGTAGAACGAAAGAAAACAATAGACTTATTTGGATGATTTATCAAAAACTAAACACATTCGTCACTAAATTATCATTAAACACTCTGCCCGCGAGCGCTTACGTAAATACAAACCTCAAAATCTGAAATACTTTCTCGTGCAGCAAACGTCTGAGAAAAATTTCCTTGCTCGCTATCTCAAAAAAAATATCGGCGATAAATTCCATCCCCCTACTTTATCGCTCCAAATAAAAAAAAAAAGAAACGCTCGCGCGACCTCAACCTTCACCTTTCGCCGATCTTCTTCTTCCTCTTTCCTCTTTATTTTGCACGGCGAGAGAGAGAAAGAGAGAGATATGGGATCCATTACCTCTCGGTCGGTCGGTCGGTCGGGGAGCGCGAATAATTGAGGCTCAATTGATAGGCGAGTCGAGCTTTTACGTTTAGCGCGCTCGCTTTGCGTGTAACGAGATAAAATTGCGGGAGAGCGATCGTGAGCGGCTGTTACTTATCGACGAACCGAGGGAGAGACTTTTTTCTTTACTCTTGTTCGTAATGAAATGAGGTAATCGGGTTTTTGCCTTTGCTTTGGATTTTTTTAACGAATCGACGCTGCAAGTTTTTTAAAACAATGCTCAATTTCTGATTACAGGCTTGCTGAGATTTGATAGCCCCGCGGGTGCTTGAGACCGATCTGTAAAGCGGCGGCGGCGGTGATGCAGCAGCTCCATAGCTCCATGGGATTCCATATATACACACGTACACTCACATACACATACGCTCGCATGCGCATCTCCTCGTTCCCACACACACACAGACACACACACACACACAAACATACCTGTACATACTACAACCTAGATAACTTTTTTCTTCTTTCCTAACTTTTTAAACAATCACAACTTTATTATAACGATATAAACAGCGGCGAGATTTTCTGCTGTAAAACGTGCGGCGAGATTTTTGTTTCTATTCTTATTTTTCACAATGCGACTGATTTTTCAATCGTTTTGATAAAACAAATTTACATGCACGTTTCGTAATTTTGTAATTCAAACTGATTTATACAGGACTTTTAAATATGTACATTCAAGTTTCGAACAAGCAATAAATTTTTTGCCCGATGAGAGGTTTATACGGAGGTTTACTTTGCGAATCACATGAATTACATAGCATTTTTAAAAGCATTTATATCCAACTGCCTTACAAACTTTTTTATATATGCTCGAGATCTCTTCAATACTTCCGTAAGAAAGAAACAAGTTCGAAAGAATTATCGCACACCACCCCTTATAATGTGATAAGCTGCGTTCGTTTATTTATCTCCAACGATTACTTTTATATACAAACAATTTATTATACATTGTAAGCGTAATTAATTATAACGTTAAGTGTATAAGTCTGCACATCGTAAACAAATTTAGTTTTGTCTGTACGTCGTGATATTCATAGGCAAAAGATGATTCTTTTCTTTTTAATTTACTAATATAGTATTTGATATTTGAAAAAAATTGACTTATATTTATTTACTAATTTGTAATCGATTGAATGACTTATTCATCTGTCATCTGTGAAATATATTATTTTTTATTTCGTTGGCTTAAGTACGTATAGATAAGTAAGTTATATATAGATACTCAGATCTAAAATGATTATTATTATCGTATTGCCTATGTACATTGAATAGATATATTTTGGAAATTACAGTGAATCAAAGTTGATGCTATCAAAGTTGTGATAGTTATAGTAAAATACTCGTCTTGTATTCTCGACAAATAATAAACAGCCAATAAGTAGGAGAGACTATATCGTCAGTTTTGAAATGATCTTCGAAAGGTATAAAATTTAACGATAATTATAGTCTGTTGAAGAATTAAAAAAGTATTGCAAGAAAAAAGCGTATATATAGATGATAAGTGCATGAATGCAGTCTTCCCCTCTTCATATGTCCAGACAATTCCTCAACGCGCGATCAAGCATTGCAGTTAGTTTACGACGCGACGAGAAGCCGCACAATCGTGAAACATCTTTTTCTTTTACGTGCCCGTGATAAAGCGGCAGAGAGACGACGTTTGCACGCAGTTTCCCCAAATCCTCGATTGTCATCTGATTGAAACTCTCGCGTACATATTGTTTTCATGCGAGGGTTTAGGTTGCTGCTGCTATGCTTCTATTCCACGATGCCTCTTTGTGGAAAACGATTATACGTGCGTTTTGTGCGAAACGAGATAACGTACCAGCGGTGATGTTCTCAAGGAGTTAATGATTTCATGATAATAGTTGATATACTTGTAAGGAAAATTGACTGTAACTTCTATAATAAAATAAAAACGTATTCTACAAACTGATAATTTCGCTTCTTGTTTATTTACATCTTTTTTTCTTTGTTTTTAACAATTTTTTTTGTGGTAAATAGAAAGAATTTTAAATGAAGTTAGAAATCATTAATTATGAAAACAATTTCTTCCTTTTATATTTCGTAGTCTTGTCTTACGATATAAAATACAGTTACAATATGTGTGTAATTACATGATGAAAGTTCCTAAGTCTATTCATCTTCGCTATTACTTTTTTCTGCTGCTTCATTCTCCTCGTTACTTGCAGATTCTTCTTCCTCTGAACCTGACTTTGACTCTTCGTCTGAATCTTTAAGAGCTTTACTCTTATTGTGTTTCTTTGTTCGACCTGCCTCAAAGTCCGATCCTTCTTCATCCGATGAATAAATGTTATTTGCCACTGAAAAACGACGATGATTTTATATTAACGTATTGGATTACTAAGAAATCATTGTAATTGCCATTTTGTGAGTAAATTCAAATCGGTATACTTGATCAATAATATTATTAATTTTGATCAATAATAATAATAATAATTAGAAATAAACGTACATTGTGAAACACCACCAGCAGCAGATTTCTTGAATTGATTCTTGATAGCCGAAAGCGAAATAGCATTTTCATCATCAGAATTCTCATCGTGATAAGGATCATTACTGTAATGAGCTGCCGCACGATTAGCTCCTCTGCCACCACTCCTTTCTTTCTTAGGCTTCGATTGAGCTCGCATTGCCATGCGTAGTTTTTCTTCCTCTTTCTGCAAGACGTAATTTAACAAACATTTCATTTTCACGTCTAAATGTTATTTTATTCATGATTTGTCATAAATTTTTACCTTAATCATCTCGTATTTATTCTGGTCAGGATTCATACCCACGTGAGATAGAACTTTAATACCAGTTGTTTTCTGTGATCGATCAGCTAAAGACATAGTCATCTTACGATGCGTAAATGACTCGGTCGAATGAGGACGGAAAGTAAGTTTTGTCCTAAAAACTGCTTGACCTTGCAAACCAGTACCCTGTCGAATGAATAGGTGATTGTGATCTCCTTGCAAAGGTTGTTTGTAGACATCGAAAATTTCTGAGCCAAGATGTAGTGACATACTGCCGTCTGACCATCTAACTACTCTGGCGTTGCTTAGCCTGTCCATTTTACCGGTTTCGGGATTGTATATTTCTTTCCATCTGATGGAAATTAATTAAATATATAAATTTTTGTATCGTGTTATTGTAAATAAAAATTTGACGTTCTGCTAACCTAATCGTGTTCTCAACTTTAAGTTTGAGCCTAGCGCGACCTTCTTCGTCCAAAGTTTCTTCTTCATCGATTTCATCTTCATATGTTTCAGTATCAAAGGGTCGAGTTTCCACTGATAAGAAATTAGGTAGTTTGACAAAGTGAATCTCACGGCCGAGATCAGTGGTTATTTTTGGAATCTCTACGTCGATTCTGGTCTCTGGAAGTGGTTCAGGCTCTTCTTCCTTCACTTTCTCTTCGTCCTAATAATCGAAAGAAGACAAATATTACAATGATAGATTAAACATTTATATTTGTATAAAATAATAATAGCGTTAGAAACAAACTTACACCTTCAATACCAGCTTGCTGCTGTCTTTCTTGCGATCTTGCTCTACTACCACTTCTGCTTCTGCTCCGACTGCGGCTTCTGCTCTTGCTTCGGCTTTTGCTTCTACTTCGACTTTTCTTTATAGCTACCCCTTCTTTCTCGCTTTCTTTTATCTCATCATCGTCATCGCTGCTAATATCGTCGGCATCACCAAACAGAGCGTCAGCTGTTGGTAGATCCTCCATCGTGTCATTCGTTGCACGATTCATTTCATCATCGGGCTCGGAATCTGAATCAATAAGTTGGCTTCGTTTCTTTTTGGTTATATGTTCGCTTTCCGAGCCAGAATCGTCGCTCTCTTTTGGCCTTTTCTTGCCGCTGTCGTCAGCTTAAATATACAGAAAGAAATCATAGTCTAACATTTGTAAATGAAGGAAATGGTATGAGTAAAGCTCGACAAGGCGTACCTGCGATCTTTAGTGATTTTTCAGAATCATCGTCGCTTTTATCAGGGCTTCTTGATTTCCTTGACTTGGGGCTGCCACTTTTCCTTGATCCACTGCCAGATCTTTTGCTATCAGCAGATCCACTTCTGGATCTCATGCTCTTTCTTGAGCTAGCAGACGATGATCTTCTGCTTGTCTGACTGTCGGAGCGTCTACTCGTTTGACTACCAGATCTTTTAGAAGCTCGACTTCCGGATCTTCTAGTCGTCTGGCTACCGGATCGTCTGGACGTCTGACTCCCAGAACGACTTCTAGATCTCTGCGAGACATGACTGCCTGATCTTTTACTTGCTTGACTGCCAGATCTAACGGATCGTCTGCTGGCATTCGATGTCTGACTGCCTGATCTTTTACTCGCATTTGAACCTCTACTACCAGATCTATTGCTAGCTCTTGAGGTCCTACTCCCTGATCTGTTACTCACTCTTGAATTTTTACTTCCTGATCTATTGCTTGCTCTTGAGGTCTTACTTCCCGACCTGTTACTCGCTCTTGATGCTCTGCTGCCTGACCTGTTACTAGTGTGACTCCCTGATCTATTACTCCCCCTTGATGTTCTACTTCCTAATCTGTTGCTTGCTCTTGAAACATGACTTCCAGATCTGTTACTTGCTTGAGAGACGTGACTACCCGACCGATTGCTTCCTCGACTGCCTGAACGACGGCTACCTTGAGAAGCTGGACTACCAGATCTGTTACTTGCTGGACTGCCTGATCTATTACTGGCGCGTGACACGTGGCTACCAGATCTATGGCTTTTAGGAGAATTTGATGCTGAGCGATGCTGCGGAGACCTGCAATTCAATTTTACAAGTTTAAAAAACATAAAATTAAGATTTTATTTCCACGAAGATTGTAGTAGATAAGAAATATCTACTTTGTTTTATTATTAAAGAGAATTTACCACTTGACTTTGAATTAAAAAATTTAATTTGTTCGATGAGAATGATATAATACAAAGTTTAACATTGTGTAAAAAGTATAGTTATCTACTCTTACCCTTTAGTACCTGTTGACTTAGGACTTTCAGACTTGTGGCTGCCTGGAGCTGAGGGAGACCTTGTATGTCGAGAACCTGGAGTACCTGAACGTGCTTTAGAAGAGACATGGCTACCTGATGATACTGAGCCACTATCTGAATCTGATCCTACAAATTAAATACCATGTGTTTTAATTATTTTTAATATTATATAGGAAATTACATTTAAGAACAAATTTGTATGAAAAGGAAGTTGATAAACTGAATGTAATTAAAACTTTAGCATACTATTTAAAAAATAATTGTCATTAAATTTCTTATTGATTAAAGATATTTTATTTGGAAATCTTAATAAAAGAATGCTGCTGAATTGCTTCTTTCACTAAAATTTTTTCAACAACCGAGAGAACATTGTCCCAATGTAATCATATGTAACAATCAAGTTGAATAAATTAGGTAGAATTTTCTTGAAAATAGTGTACTAAAATTATGAATTAATTAACCAAGATCTTACACAAAAAAAAAAAATTTACAATGCATATCAGTTTATTTAATAAAACAACACTGTTTAGGTTAAAATTGTAAAACTGACGATTCAACTGCCAAATTACAATAAATAATTTAACATGAAATTACAGTAAATATTTACCAGATTCTCCACTAGAATCTTGATTAGGTGGCATGTTTTTAAAATTTATAACATCAATAACAAAAATATCGTGTTTAAGCAACTTCTTCAAGGTTATAGTTCTAGACAAATATAAAGCGATCAAACCAAACTATTCTGTTGCTTGTTGCCTCTGTTGGTAACCCCCGATTAAGATGTCGCCACTTTCCATTTCAAAGTGAACCATTGAATCCGAAAACCGAATATCGTCGGATCGTCGCTGGCGAGTCGCGCTCGCGAGCTCGCGACACAATCGACAAGTACATTGCTCGGCGGTGAGCGCAAACATGGCGGACTGCAAGGGTGCGTTAAGCTTTCGGCTTTCTTCTGAAAGTTCTGAAATTACAAAACGATAGTATCATTTTTTATTTATCTCATTCTTTTCGTTAACACTCTTATGTTTAAAAAATAGACGAAACGGGACTAATTTTTCGTAGGAGTTTTCGTGAAAGCCACGAGGACGCCGGATACACGTTGTCCGCGACAATGAATTATTAAATTTTCTATTTGCAGAAAGCAGCAACGAGGAGACGAGCAAAGAACCTGAGCCGATGGTCACTATGAAATTTCATAGCCCGGACGAGTCTAGCGATAACTCTGTCAATGGTATGATTAATATGTTCTGACCAGGTGTTAGATTGAATCCACACACGCATATACACATGGTGGGTAGTTGATTTCACTTGATGGGTGGTTTTTTGGTTTTAGATGAGGTGGAGAAGGGATCTGCTGAAAAAGATTCCGACAACTCCTCCTCATCAAATAGTTTACCGCACAACTCAGTTTCAAAATCACCAGACAAAAAGAGCAAAAGGTTGTTTACATTAAAAGGTATTTATAAATCTTACAATAAGAGCTACCAAACATATTTGTGTACTTTGCATACTCTTTTAGAACTGTAGTTCATTCTATTTTGAATTCTGGCACTGCTCAATCAGCACATTTTGATTATTACTTTTTTGTTCTACAATATTCATAGATATTGTATATTGAAATTTTATTGTTTGAATTGGGTTATAGCATCAGCATTTCTTCCTGGATCTAGTACATTTTCAGAGAAATCTAGCTGTAGTAGTAAACCAAAAACTTCTTTGTTGAGGCCATCAGCATTGAGTTCAGTCACAAGTTGTGGCACATCAGCCAAAAGTGTGTTAAAGCCATCGAAATTTCAAAATCCTTTTTCCAAAGTCACTGATGATTTGGAGGATGGAGAGTCAGCAGCTCACAGTGAAAGCAACAAAGATGAAGATGCAGAAAAAGGTACCAAGGATGAAAATGACAAGGAGGAAAAAGATAAGGATGAAAAAGAAGAGGAAAAAGAAAAAGAAGTGCCTAAGTTTTTGGCATTAAGTAAAAGTACGAATGCCAAGGAGAATGAAAATAGTTTTAGTAGTGCAGTGACTGCAGGTGCATCAAAAGCATCAAGTTTTGTATTTGGTCAGAATCTTAAGGAGCGAGTTGCTGTGGCACATAATGCAGATAGTTCTGACAGTTCTGAGAAAGAAGAGGTCAAAGAAGAACCAACAAATGCAAATGGATCTTCTTCTTCAGAATTAATGTTCTCTAATGCAGCAGCTGTTTGTAAAACTTCAAATGATAGCAAACCAAGTTTAACATTGTCAGAGGCAGCACATGAGCTTGAAGAAGCTAATCGTGCTAACAAGAGAAAATATAGTGAAGTGGCTCTGTTGACTGGTGAGGAAGATGAAACGAACGTTTTACAAATCAATTGCAAACTTTTTGCTTTTGACAAAGTAAGTGTGCTTTAGAGCAAATTGATTTTAGTGATTAAAATTATAAAAGATTTTGGTAGAGTCTATTTATATTCTTTGTTTAGTATGAATAATGGATATGAAAAATTCATTATTCTTTTTTAGAAATATTTATATTGTCACAAATATATTTGGAAATTTACTCACAGTCAACTGTAAACTCTAAATGTCCTTTTTACTAATGACATGTTTGTATTTTATTCAAATGTTCCATTAGTCAATAATAGTTTTTACAGCATTTTATTGCGTAATATATTACTGAAAGATTCAGTTTTGCTAGAGAAATTTTTCTCAATTGAAATTGATTGGAACTCAATTATGATTATGGAAAAAAAAATATTACTATCAAATAAAAATGTAAATAGATAAATATTAGTTTTTTTAGATATATAATACTGTTAATTAACATGTAGAAACTTGGAAATAATCTATGAATAATAGAGGTCAATAGATTGCTTGAAAATTATGAATTCATTTTCTTTTAAGATGGAATGCGTATCTACAATGGCACTTTGAACTCCCGACTAATTTGCAATTTATGATTACAGGCGACGAGTAGCTACCAAGAGCGAGGTCGAGGTTTTCTGCGGTTGAACGACAAGGACGATGAATCGCGTTTAATTGGTCGAGCAGCAGGAACTCAACGCCTCGTACTCAATACAAAAGTGTGGCCAGGCATGACAGCCGAGCGCGCAGGACCAAAATCATTACGACTGACGGCGATGGATGCTCAAGGCGAGATTCGCATATTCGTGGTGCAGGCCGCCCAAAAGGAAGTTGAGCAGTTGCACAACTTACTCATGCAACGACTGACACGTGCTCAAGAACGGAAACCTAAGAAACTCGCCACTGAGCACTGAAGTCCGCCAATCCTAATTGCGATTCGCTGGGACCTTTTTCCAATATTTTATTTTCGAGGACAGTATTTCTTTGTGAGCGTATTGCAGTTTTACTGTAAAATACGAAAGTCGCTTGCATCGTTCTTTTGTGAATCGTCGCACGTTGGTAAAAGAAACGATATTTTGATAAATGTCCTTTTGTCAAGGAATTTATATTTATTGATGGTTCTAAAAACTTGTCGATGGAGTATAGTAAATTCTTTTTTGATTTACTTTTATTTATTTTAGAGTGAATTTTTTTGGATAGCTAGTTCATATCATTGGCGCGACGGTGATGATATTTTTATCGCTTGTTGAAAACGATGAATTACTGTACTTATCGGTAGTGTGTATAATCGAATTTCAGAAATTATTAATTCAAACTATCCAGCGAATCGCAAATTTGCCACTATAAAATACTAACTTAAAGTATGTCAAATGAGACGGTTTAATTTTTTCTCAGAGACCGTAAAAAAACTCCATGGAAGTTATCCAAACAGGCCTGTTAAGTGAAAGAAAAAAGAATGTCGATTTACCTTATATATATGAAAGAGCCGACATTTACGAATACGGACGTAAATACTTTGAGTCAGTAAACTTAATCGATATTCGTTGTGTTTTACTTTGCTGAAAGGGAAAGAAGGATGATGGATTTTTTTTGTAAAGCAGTCAAACATTTTCCTTCCTTCTCTTTTCTAACGTTTTTTCCTCCATTATATGTGAATTAGTCTCTTTCTAATCATTCCTGCGAGCAAAACTCATAATACGTGCATAATAATATGGATTGAAAAGTGTTTTTTCTTTACACTCATGATAAACGATGTAATATGAAACGCAACACTAAAATGAGTTTATTGAGTCGTTTTTTGAATACTTACATTTTTTATCTCAATTATATAGTAGAACACCATCAAAATATTTAAAAAAACAAAAAGAAGGCAGAGCAAGATTCTAAACTTTTGTGTACCGGCGATATTATTATTAAAACATAAAGAAGCGGGTTCACACGAGTAATTCTGAATAGAGTCGAGGATTTAAAAAAGTCGTTTGTGTATGGTCAAGAGTGTGCATGTGATGTGAGTGAATGTTTGGCTAGGTAGAGATTTTTAATGAGGAATATAGTCTAATCTGATAATAAATTAATACAGATTGTCATTGAAAAGTAACAAAAGAATTCAAGGTAATATTAGTGCTTGTGCTTCAGAAAAAAAGGCATTCTTTAATACTTGAATGACAATGATGATTTAGGTGAAAAAAAATGATTCAACATTGTACTACTACCTCTTATCTGGTTGAACAACTTTGTCGCAAGTTCCTCAGTTTAAAACTTTGTATGGAATGGCAACGTGACATTAAATACTTCAGTAATAACATTGTTCAATATTTAGCTGTAAATAAAATCTCACTCTAGTAAAAACGTGTTATTCTTTGTTTCTTTTAAGTTTATCCTTATACTAGCTTTTTCAAAATTTATAAACCTGGATCTTTATTTAAATCATGGGAGGCATATTTGTCATTTGTTATTTTCTTCATTTCATTCTTCTGATTATGCATATTTTTGAGGTTTTACATATTAGTATATGCAAAAAGTAGAATATTTAAAAATTAATTCATTATCGATGAAATTATATTATAAACATGTGTCAAAAGTACATTACTTAAAATTTATTGAATAACTACCTAAAATAACATTATTGCCGTCAGGTTTAACTTTAGCGCGTATGTCATGGAGAAAATGAAATTAACGTAGCAATAGTGTCGCTGAATGGATGAAAAAATATTAAATAAATTAATTTGCAATAAATATAATTACAACGGATTGACAAAAGTTTAATGGCTTGACAACTACATAAAACTTGAATTCTCTTTCACGCATACAACACATAATAAGGCATTCTCAGAATTGAAACGTCTATAAATTCTGAGCAGCTTTGAAAGCTCGCAGGTGTCGCTGGTCACGGCGGGACATTCGAAAGCGTGGCGACGGACCGATTAAAAATAGCTCGTCGCTCTTCTTCTCGCGCGCGCGCCGCTCGCTGTGCTTGTTGGTGCGCGCAGCACGCGCGTCGTTCCCTCGCCGAGCTTTCGCGCGAAAAATCTCTCAGTCACCGTTTTCCCTCTGGCGCTCGGCCTTCGCCTCGCACGCCCACTCGCTCGTCGAGTCCTCGAGGACAGCGGGAGAACAGTGTGCCCCGGCCCAGTGTCCGCGTGCGCGCGCGCGCGCGAGATAATCGTCGCGGACGCACCCGATTGTATTTTTAGAGCGGCCGAGGAGCATCCGTGGCGCCGTCCGCGAGGAGGCTTCGGTTACAGCTCGTGCCTTTCTTCGCGCCTACGCTCGGACGTTCGAGCTGGTTATCCGCGGCTGTGCGCCGATGTCGACCGGCGCAGCGTCGTAGGCAGCCCGTGGATATCGGTACGTTGTGCAAAACTGTGTCACGTTTCGATCCCCCCTCCTCTCCCTTCCCCGTCGCATCCGCGACCCTCGAGTTTATTTGGGATTCTTATGTGATTCGCGCGCGCTCGATCGGGTTTATTCGCGGGCAGCGCTGCGTGAGCTTGCGATAACGCCATTTGGGAGTCGCTCTCGCCTCTCCTCGCGGCAAACCCGGCCATTTGGGAGCGCGCGCCAAATCGGGCTCTCGGTAAACAATCGGCGCGCAGCACCGCAAGTCCTCTGCCCGCGACTCGTCGACTCGTAGAGGCAGGCGCTTGGCGTCGCCAGGCCGCGCGTCACGCTCCGCGAATGATATACGTGCGCGATCGAGCCGCGCGTTTCGCCGAGGACCGAGACGAGCAAGTCGCGCGGGCGCGCGCCTGACGAGCGAAGCCGAGTCGCGCGTGTGATCCCGGCGCGTCGCAGCTGCGTTGTCCGCGACGTCGTCGTCGCCGTCGTCGTCGTCGTCGCCAGCGTACGCCAAGCTACTAGCCAGGCGGAGCAGCGGCAGCAACGGCGCAGCCAGCGGCGCGGGCGCCAGCAGTTACGGCGCCGGCTCGGCTGCGCGGCCGAGGGCCCCGCGCAGGGGCCTGCTCTCGAAGATGTTCGGCGCCGGGCCGCGGGAGCGCTCCGTTGGCGCGGCGCCGCCGCCACCGACACCGCTACAAAGCCCGCGGGCCAAGAGCGAGACGAAAACTCTGCCCAAGAAGTACGTTTACAGGTGAGTGGCCAAAGGCGGCTTCGTGTTTTTCCTCTTCTTTATCTTTCTTTGCTTTGCGCCGACGTTTCACCGCGGAATTTCGACTGCTTTGGCGCGTCGCGGCATTTTCAACGTTTCTTTGGACATTTGCAAATTGAGAAATAAGCCGGGGACTGCTGGCGGATAGAAGTCTGCCGCTGAGCGTGATGTCGGACAGCGAGAGATCAATATACTCAGAAATTTATTTAAAAAAAAAAAACAAAGAAAAACAAAACCCGAGAGAATATAAAATGTCGGTTTTACGACGGGCTTTTTAATATCTACAATAAAGCGAACGATTAGGGAAGGCAAGGCTAGAGCACATCTCTTGACTACTCTTCTATAAATACGATCAATACAGTTTCCAATTTCAATAACTGGGACGCGGCGCTCAGACAGATCGGCTTCTACGTGTATTCTCGCCCCCGCACATCGCGCAAACACCGGAACGCAATTTTTTCTCCGGAAGATTTCGTGTAAATAAACTGATCGGAGTAGCCGAGAGAGAGAGAGATAACCACGTCTGTCGCGTTTTGAGCGTTGGTAACGAGCCGCGTAAACACTCTCGAGCGGCGTTGATCATCGGCATGTTTCAGGACGAGGGTGCCAGCGGCAGTGAATCCCCAAGAGCTGCCGCCAGCGTCGACGTCGACGGGCCGCTCGTACGTTTATCGGACGCGCGTGCCACGGCGCGACGTCGTTGACTCGAGCTTCGACACCGGCACCGGCGACAACATCGAGGACCTGCCCACCCTGGGCAATCCCATCACGCGGCGTCGCGGTGCCGTCAAGCATCACAAGGTGCACGTCATTCGCGGACACAAGCTCGTCGCCAAGTTCTTCCGACAGCCGACGTTCTGCGCCTTCTGCAAGGATTTCCTCTGGTGAGTCCCGGCTGCGCATTGCACGACGATCACTGCCGCGGGACTGGGGTATTTCAGACCAATGCTTTGTTGTTTGCAGGGGATTCGGCAAGCAAGGATACCAGTGTCAAGGTAGGAGCCGACGCGAGATCGCGAAAGTGCCCAGCCACCATCAGCGGCGCTCTAAACGCTTTGCATCTCATGTTTGCAGCTTGCCAAACGGCGGTGCACAAGAAGTGTCACGACAAGCTGCTGACCAAGTGTCCGGAAAGTGGACGGGAATCCGAAAGCACAATTGTAAGGATCGCCCGTTGGATTTTTCGATGGGCCGCCGCTCGAAGCGATGACATTGACACGCGAGTGCGGTCGCGTGCGCAGCAAGCGAAACTCACGCGGCCGACGCGACACTGCTATTTTCGCATTGTCTTCGGCTGCCGAAATCTGACGCGCGGTAAATCTACGCGGCGGAGACAGCGCGCGCGCGCGCGCGCGAAGCTAATCGTTTGGCAGCGCGCGCGCGCGCGCAGACGCGTCCATCGGCGATTTCTTTTGTCGCGCGCGGAAGGGGTTGCGAATTTAGCAGCTGGCAAGAGCGCCCGTGGCTCGTCAGCGGATGTGCGTGGGTGCACGATGTCGGCTAATCGAGCGATTATCGGCTCGGTTTGAGAGACGTGTTCGCGCAGCCGTTCGAAGCTTTGGCATTCGTTTTTCCTTGTGCTCGGCAATGGCCTCCGGCTGTAATTTCATTCGATTAAGAGGGCTAAATCGATGGCCAAATATAACGTTGAAAACTTTGCACTATGTACACAGATTTCTGCTTTACCGACTCTTCGGCGCAATTACAACGTTTCTTTTCATGTAACAATATCATCTATTTTCGATGTTGGTTTTAGTATCTCAGAGAGCGATTCAAAGTTGATGTGCCACATCGGTTCCGCCTCTACACTTTCGTCTCGCCCACTTTTTGCGATCACTGTGGATCCATGCTTTACGGACTCTTTCGGCAAGGATTGAAGTGCGATGGTGAGTATTGCGTTCAAGATATAGCTGTCAAATTGAATAATATGCCAGTAATTTTTATTTACACTTTAAACTAATATTCAGGAGCTTGGATACATAGAATTATTTTGTCACGGTATTATGTCAAATGTTTCTTGCTATAAATTTTAATGTTTCACGTATATTTCAATTATGACTAAAAGTAGGCTTTACGGAACAGCTCTACAGGATACAATTATTCATCAGCGAAGACTAAAGATCTCCACTCGGTATATTCGCAGATAAAACTGTTGCGAACATTTTGAATAGTCTAAGGATTTTTTTTTAAGTTTTCATAATTTCAAGCGACTAACGCTTGATTTTAAAAGAAAGTTTTAATTTCGGAAAATTCCAAAAGCTCAGTGAATTTATTCGTTATTTCAAATTACAGAAAATTGGCATGCAGTTAGTTTTCTTCTTTATTATCACGCGCATTTGATCATGTTTAAAGTTTAGCATTCGAATTCTCTCAACAGTCAGAAACAACCGGAAATCAATTTTCAAAAGAACTTCAATCATTCTCAAAATCTCGCTTTTTTTTTTTTCTAGTAAGTTATACTTTTGAACCCGAAAAGACTGTAATGATTGCTTTACAGTGGAGTAAATCAGTTAAAAAATTGGCAAGTAGCCAAAGCTTTATATTCAAAACGATATAATTATTCTGAAAAGTTTAAAAATATAAATTTCATTTTAAAAATCGGCAAAATTGTGTTAAACTTTCAATAAAATTTGATGATATCATTCCGTTCATGTTATTATCAACTTTAATGGCTTAAAAATAAAGGTTCGGATAAGCTCAGTTCTTAGTAAGAAAAAAAGCCTAAAGCCATAGCAAGTATCACAAGGATAAGCCACATTGGTGTACCTTAGCATCCCCAGAACTTTTAGCATCGACTTGTGGATGATTGACAAATGAATCCTTGGCGTGAAATGAATTGATAGCTTCGATGTCGCGGATCGAAGCAGCGGATCCTTCGTGAAAAGTCCACCAATGCGGCAGTCGACGAAGCGCGAGTCGTGTTTCGCGTTCTCGTCTGACAAGTCGGACGGTCGCTCGGACTCGCTGGTGGTGATCATTCGTCGAAAGTGGCGTCGAGCGCTCGGGGGCAATGCTATTTGCAGGATGGGGGACGGGAACGGGATCCGCGACGGCCCGCGAGGAGCTCGCCCGCGAGCTTTCCCAGCTCGCGGTGTTGGCTTAGCTACGGAAAAAGCTGCTTGGAGCAGCTAGAGTCCGAAGCCGGCCAAAGCCGAGAAATTCTATTCTTGAGCGCTCTCTCTCTCGCCTTGGCGACTCGGGGCGCGCGCGCGAGCAAGGCGAACGCCGGTCAGTCGTTCGCTGGCTGACGACCGAGCAGACCGCGAGCGGCTCGACTTTTGGCGCCGACGAGCGCGTCGGCGTACACCAGCAGCGCCAGTAGCTTGTTGTTGTTGTTTCCTCATAGTGCGCTGATTGCGATACGATGCCGTACTACGGGGACGCCGGCGGCTCGTCGTATTACGGCTACGGCACGACTGGGCCCTTCGCCAACCACAGCTCCCTCATGAGCAGCATAGGCCGGTAAGACACCAGCGCTCGTACGACATATCCTCTCCGATTGATCCACATCGATCGGGGGCTGCCAGCTGTCTCTCGCTTTATAGCCCGCGTCCGCTGCACTTTCGTTATTCAGTGATCTGTGCATCGCCAGGGCGATTGGTTCGCGTGCACGCTTACGCGCCAGTTACGCACTGTCGGTTCGCGAGCTAGCTTGGACAGTCAGTTGCGGGCTAGAGAGACAGAGAGACTGAATTCGCTGTTGCGGTTGAACGTAATCATGCTTTTTACGCAATTTTCAAACGAGTTTCTCTTTGTCAAACATAAAAGATTAAACATAAAAGATTATCATTTGAATAACAATTTTTAGCAGTTCAAAGTCTAATCATATTTTTGCTTTTCCTAAGTAAACGTCAACTCTGCTTGTGTACTGAATGATGAAAAATAGGTTTAACCAACGACTCTTGATTGGCAACGGGCATCGTTCGCTGTCACTTCAAAACCGACTTTTTTTTTTGAAATTGCCAAACAGCAAAGTTTTTCATGCTCCAAATATTTACAAGATGTGCATGAAAGTCCATTTCGGCAAAGTTATATTCAGTAATTAGCACGTTTGCTAAAAATAAAGAAGAAACTCGTTTCAAAATAATTACAACATTATAAGTGTGATTGTCGCGTTATTTTTTCATCTCGCTAATGTTTATGTTGCAAAGTTCTCTTTCTGTAAACTTGACACGGCCTGCACAGTATATTTTTGTACAAAAAAGAAAGGGTTCGACCGTTTTCCGTTCTACTTAACTTTTTGGGTCAAACTTTTTCTTTATAAATGCGTATATTTGTACTCGTCATTGTTCATTTTCAATTTAAATATGATTTTCTATTCGATTAGACAGATTGATTGATTATAAAAAGAAATTTCACGTTTCCAAGTAGGTGTAATGTAATACGAATTGATAAAACTTGTACGATGATCACGCGCAAAACAGTAAAATCATATTTTTCAAAATCGTGGAAAAACAAACCAGCGGTCATTCAGACTAATTCAACGCATTAAACGGATAATGCGGATCATAATTATATCCTGAATTGAAATTAAAAATCGATTTCAAACTGCCGAGACGTTCCCACGGCAGAGCAATAGACTTGGCCGCGCGAGTGCAAGGAAAGCCATCGTGCAATCGCCAAAGGTCGAGCAAAAGATTTTCACCATTCTCTGGCCATTACAAAAATAAACCATTCGCCGGATCCAAGCGAGAAATAGAAATGCGAACAATACACGCACACGCACGCACGCACACACACACACACACACACACACACACACACACACACACACACACACACACACACACACACACACACACACACACACACACACACACACACACACACACAGAGGCACGGGCAACGGTGAAAAAAGGGAAAAAGATGCGATGCATCTTCCGCGTTGGCTTACGTTCTCGCCTCCGCAAATTTCCTCGTCTGGTCATCTTCAGCTTTAGCGTCGTCTTCGTTATAACTCGTTTCTTTTTCCCTCGCTTCTAGTAAGCCTATTTGGTTGTAAAATTAGACGCAAGAGCGCGGTCGATTCAGGAGGATCCACGCGAGAAGCGACCCGTCTCGCTCAATTAGCGCGCCGAACGTAAGACTCTAGCTACAGCGATTATAAGTGGTTCGGCCGATTCGTCGTGTCTACGCGTCGTGGGGGGGAGGGGGGGGGCTTCCTCGTAGCGACGGGCGTAGTTTCCAGGCAGCTCGCGAACGTTGGCCCAACTCGCGACTGCCGCTCGCAGCGGTGTGCCGCGACGAGCGCTGCCAAAAACCTCGGCGTCGTCGCACGGGCACGGGATCGGCGTTGAACGCAAGCCGGTTCGAAGACGCAGAAGCGCATCACCGAGAGCCGCCTCCTCCGTCGGCCAGTACCGCTCCGATCGGCTCGCGCGCGCGCGCGCGCAGTTTCGTCAGTGCGCCTATTTATAGCGAGCGGCGTTACAGTTTCGCAGCAAGGTTGGATGCGGCCCGTCGACACCTGTTGCGCCGCGCGCGTGCACCGCGCCGCCCCGCGCCCATCGCGATCTTGCGAACGCGACATTTCCCAGCTGCACGCGAACCAACCGTGACATTTACTCGGCCGAGTATCGCGACAAAGGCCGCGCGCGACGGAGCTCGCGCCCACGCGCGATTCGTCGACGCGCGAGCGACGCGGTCGAATCGAGTTGAACCACCCTGTCCCGATCTTACATCACGGCTGGGCTCCTCCGACACTCGGCGCGCACGCGACCGTTCTTTCGCTTTGTCCGCGCGCGGACGCTTTGGCCGGCGCTCAAGCCGCTCCATTTAGAATCGCATCTCGCGCTCGCGGGGGAGAAGCCTCCTCCTCTCTTTTGCGAAACGCCCGAGGCTCGCGGCGAGTCCCGAGCGAGCTCTTCGCGGAATACGAGGCGTCGACGCTCGACGGATGTACTTGGGAGTCGAGAGGCCGCTGGCGAAGTGGCTCGTGGCGCGGCTTCTGCGAAAGCTGCTCAGCGCCAATTGCGGATGCAACTTGGAATCGAAGCAGCCGAACACCAAGAGCGACGATACGAGTTGTCTCGGGTGCTCGGAGTTTGCAACCAATGTAAATTGTCGCGATTAATCTTGACAATGACGAGTGAATATTTTTAAAAGGTTCTCGATATTTTGAAAACACGCTCTGACTCTCGGCGCTCGATCGATCGACGCACCTTAAAAATACGCAAATCGACGTGTGCTACTGCTCTTCCACGTCGTCGTGGTAGAAAGCCTTGGGCACACGCGTGCCTCTCTTAATCGACGGCACTTCGCGTGACATAATCATCGCGCGATCGGTGTTATCAAAGTGAATTCGATGGCAATTATTAATCTCGTCGTTCGTTACATTTTGGGGAAGCTCGCGACGCACCTAAATAATTATAATTAGGATTTGATCGTAAATTCATTAGCGAATGCGCGCAATAGCATATTATCCCGCGCGAATATCCAAAAGCGACATAAATTATCACTCAACTCTCTGAGGTAGTTAACGTACTAGCTGAAACTAAATAATTTCGCGTGAGTCATGGCAGACGAGGCCAAGTTTAGTTGTATTTAGAGGATTGTGTCCACTTAGAGTCGCACGGCTTGTAAATTTTGCGTAATCTTATTTTATAATTTATATTTTCTGCCTGGCGCATTTATAGCGCGCTGCGCTGTTGAGACAAAGCTCGGACACACACGCGAGATCGTTAAGTGGTAATTTATTACATTCTGGACAATTTTACACGACGGAATTAATTTAATTACTCTTGCTCGCGTAGAATTATTTATATAAGAAATGGCATTTACGGAGTGAAAATACTTGAAAATATTTTATTCGTGAAATAATTTATCTTGTAACGGCATCACTTCCGGTTCCTCGGTTGAAAACTGGCAATTCTCGGAATAAAACTTAATTGTCTGGAACATCGTTTTCCTACTTTGCCAAAAAGTCGCGAAAGGACGAAAAATGGAATTTTCCGACAAAAGGAAAACAACATTCTGCGGTGTATGTTTTCAAATACACACACACATGCACGTGATTTTTATTATTAGCCAAAGATCAATTTATAATGAGGGAACCGCGGCACATGAGTCCAACAGTCCGACATTTTCTTTGTTCGGAGTCAAAACTGTTTGATCGATATACCTCGCAGTCAATTCGTTTTCAAATAATTATTTATAAAGTCGTACATTTAATTACAATGTTGGTGTTTTGAAGATTCCGCAAAATTTAAAGGCACATTGACACTGCAATACGCTTTCACGAGAGCAATATGTCATATCGATTGGCCAAAAACAGAAAAAACACCCATTTTTCGCTGCCCGAGATTGCCTCTGGCTCGGGAAAAAGTGAATATTTTCGAAGTGAAGATTTTCGGTCGAACTCAAAATGATTTAACAGCTGCAACAACTTGGCAACTTCGTGCGAAGAGCTCGGAGACGCGCGCCCGCGCATCGTCTTCATAAGCGCAAATTGATGGTTCTTTTTTTTTTCTTCGGAGGCGATTTCCGAATTCTGGCAACGAGCTCTCGGCATATTACTGCAAAATCAAAGAAAATATTGCCTCTCCGCGAGCATCAAATCCAATTATTTTCGATTTACGACGTGTTGCTTAGCTAATCTCCCAGCTCGATGCCTCGATGCCGCACGATCGAGTAAAAAAAAATGAGAACTCGAGAGCCGAGAAATGCAGAAGCTCGTGCTTCCGCTCGTGACGGCGATTGTGCCAATGCAAATAACTCTTCCTCGCCTCCAGCCGACAGGCCGAAAATAAAAACGAGTCGAGCCGCTGGCGCGCCAAGTACATTACGCGCCATTAGCCTCTCGGGGCTCGTTTTGTTCTTCCCCTCCCTCGCGTTCGCGAGATCTCGCGGTTCGGGAATTTCTTCAGCCACGATCGAGCGCGTGCTCTTCGACGACGAAATGGAAGCGAAATTGAATTTCGATCCGCGCGGCCGAGGGTCTATGAATAGTATTTCGTGACTTCGGGCGCGCTGGTGCCTTACGTAAATTCGAGGCGCTCTCGCGGCGCTGTTCTAGCTTTATTGCTCGCTAAACGAAACTGTCGATTCGGATTATACAAATTTAACAGGAGTTCGTCCGGCTTTTCGGGCCACGTCGTCAAATCGAATCGTGCACCGAACGCCGCCTCTCTCTCACCGATTTATTATTAGCTCGTTCGCAAATTCTCTTCGCGATTTGATATACGTCAGAAATGTAAGATATGATAATTCATATAAATAAAGTAAGTACCTTGGCGTGCGATCAAATTTATTTTGACGGAGAAGAAATAGACGTATAGAGTATTTGCAAGTTGAGTCCGATTCAACTGGAAAATGAAAAGGCTATATTCGGGCCGAAACTTGAAAAAAATATACTGTGCAAGGCAACTCGCGCGCAAAAAGAAGCACGCAATTGATATTATCCTGGACAAATGAAAATCTGTTTGCGACAGCTATCATAACCCGATCGCCGCCCGTTACTCGCCCCACTTATCGACGATCTCGGAGACGCCGTTCGTCAAGCTGCGCCGTTACGGGCCCACGGTGCCGACGTCAGCGACGACGTCGCTGTCGCGGCCCCGGAGAATCATCGACACCGCGGACATCGACGTGACGAAACCGCCCAGCCGCAGCCTGGACCACCGGCACCAGCAGCAGCAGCAGCGGCACCGCTTGCGCCGCGACAGGCCGACGATCAAGATCCGCTCGCAGGCGCTCAAGGACAATCCGGCGCTCAGGGAGTACAACGAGAGGCACGAGAAGACGGTGGGCGAGATGTTGGTCGAGAAGTTTCTGATAAAGGACAAGAGCGCGAGGGAGGCCGAGCCAGCCAAGATCAAGCTCTATCATCAAGCCAGCCTCCTCGGGGACGGGCAGCCGAGCAAGGACCGAAGCAACGACATCCTCGCGGCGATCCGGCACAGGATCACCCGCAAGATGACGAGGAGGCGCTCGTCGGTGGACGCCGTGCCCCTCGACCCGGAGCAGATCGAGCGGGAGGCTGCTCTGCAAGCCGCGCAGGCCGAAGCTCTGGACACGCTGGTCGCCGAAGAACTCGCCGAGGCCGAGATGGAGGTGCGCAAGGGCACCTTTACCAAGAGGCATTCGCTGGTGATGCTGCCGGTCGACATCTCCGAGGCGTCCGACAGCGAAGACGAAGCTGACGAGGACGAGCGCAAGAGCAGCGAGCTGCCGCGCAAACACGCCACGGCAAAGAAGAAAAGACGGCGAAAGTCCATTGATAAATACTCGCAGAGCGACGAAGAGGAAGACGCGTTCAGCATTGCCGAAAGCATTATCGAGGAAGAGGAGTTCGAGTGGGACGATCGGGATAAGTGCGATGACATCAAGAGCATCATGCCGAAGGAAGAGGCTACGATCACAGTGCCGGAACAGAAGCGCGTCGTGAGTCCGGGGATGGAGAAGAAGGAAAAACTCGACGAGGTTGGCAATCGTCTGAAGGAGCTGAGGAAGGAGGTAAGGAAGCTGGAGAAGAAAGAGAGGGACATAAAGCATGTTTCGACGACCAAACATCAATGCCAATTGAAGAAAGACAAGCTTACACCGAAAATTGAACACGTGAAAGTGGAGATCGTGAAGCCAAAGGCAGGTGTGTTGAAAGCGAAATTGGATGACTCGGAGGTGAAAACTGTTGAAGCAACGGCGGATGATGTAATAGAACGAGAAATTATACCTGAATCGGAGAAAACTACGGACAAAATATTAGAAGAACAAGTACGTAACGACGGTAATTTGCTTATTAACAAAGAAGCCATTAAACCTAAGATGGAAGAATCGAAGAAAGCAGCTGAACCCAAGGAAGAAGAATTGAAGAAAGCTGTAGAACCTGTGATAGAAGAATCAAAAAAGATGATTGAACCGAAGGCAGAAGAATTGCAAAAAGCAGCTAAACCAAAGATAGAAAAGCCGATGAAAGAAACAGAAGAGATCGTCCCGGAATTGATTACGCCGAAAATTCATGAAGCAAAGAAAGAATTGGCTAAGTCGAAAAAAGAGATTGCACCCAAACAAATTGATTCTCGTGAAAAACGCGTCGACAGTGTTAAAATAGAAGAAACAACGATTCTCGAACGAAAGGATGACGATAAGAATCTAAGGCTAGACAAGAGTGGCGCGACAAATACCACGCTAGAGCAAAAGAAGGCCCTTGACACGAAGGACAAAGATGAGCAGTCTAAATTAGACAATGATAATATAACGATACCGCCAAAGGGAGAGGAAAATATTGATTCTGCAATCCATGTCGAATCAACAACAAAAGCTCCAAAAGACGACGGCAAACTCAAAGTGAAAGAGCGCAAACTCAAAGAGAAGTCACCGAAACCCGACCGCAATAAACTCAAGCGAACCATCTCTGCGCCTCAACATCTACCACCGGAACCAGAAAGTCCGTGTTTCAGAATCGAAGCGTGTAACAGCGTAGGTGACATGTCAACCCTCTACGTCAAATCTACATCTTCAGCAGAGGCCATAAGAAATATTGAGCAATTCCGCGAAAGCATTCGTCTGCCGGCACCAAAAAGTCGCACGACAGTCGAAACGGAGGTGGTATTGCCGGTACGCAAGCCGTACGTGCGCGACACCTCACGTAACAGCGTGTATCTAGCCCTGAAACCAATGCGGAAGGATGCTGATGCCAAATCGTCGAATGTCCGATCGATTATTAGCGAGGAGGGGGAATCCGAACGAATGAGCGACGAGTATCGACAGGTCGATGAAAAAAGTAGTAGTCGGGCGCGAGGCGCCAAAGAGGAGTTTGCATCCTGGTGGGATGAGATACCCGAGGAGGTACAACATAAGACTATTGTTGAATCCGGAGATAAGGTGGTAGAGCAGGTTATTGAGAAGAAGCTGCAAGTCGAAGCGAAGGATCACACTGCGGTTGCAAAGAAAGCGGACAGCAAAGTTACACCAGCTGTGAACAAGGTCACACCCAGTAAAGCGGTAGACAAGGCTGCCGAAGCAGTGCGAGCAGAGGAGAAAAAAGCAAAAGTCAAAGTAGAAGTGAAGCCTGACAGTAAAATCAAAGTGGACAACGCAGAGGTCAAACTGAATGACAGTATTTCAACTGACAGCGGGATCAGCGAGATCGCGGCGAAGCCCCAAGTGGTCGAAGATAAATCAGCGACAGACCAAAAAGTGAAGGAAGCGGCCGTAGAAAAAGTAACAGAAGCACCAGTCAAAGAAACGCCAGTGAAATTGCCGCGCGAGTCGCAGAAAAAATCGGAGACACTGCCAAGAGTAGCGAGCGACAAAGCAATAACTCCTTCTGTCGACGTCGACAACGACAACAATAAAACCTCATCGCGTGATGTAACTGGCATCGCCGAAGCAGCGACAGAGGAGACAGCTACAATAATAGCAGCGGCGGCTAAGAAGCAGCAGCGCGACGAGGCGCGCAGCAAGAGGAAGGTGGACGCGCAGGCGATAATGAAAATCGAGAAGCAAATTCTCAAGGAGGCGGAGTCACCCGACAAGATCCTCACTACGGCGGCACTGCTGCCCGCCGAGAAAGAAGACGACGAGGAGCAGAAGAAACTGGGTCTCGACGGCAACACCAAGTCCAACGCCGCTACGGCGACGGAAATAGACTTCTGGAGCGAGATCGAGACGCCACCGCCGCGTGACGATGCAGTCGAGCCGCAGCAGCAGACGAATAACAATCTGAAGCTCGATCTCTCGAGGATCGACCTGCCCGCACTGGACGATCTGCCAACGCCGTTGATCGAGGACCAAGACGCTACACCGGTCGTCGAGTGCCCCGCGACTCCATCGGAGAAGAACCTCGAACAAGTGCCGCCGATCAACCTTGCGTTGACCGAGGAGGAGCGTCGCTCGACGATCAAGTACAACGGCGCGCAGCTGGACGAGCTCTCCGGCACGGTCAAAAAGATTTCCAAATGGGGAAATCACGATAATCTGACGAGCCTCGACAGCAACGTCACTCCTGTAGCTTCCAAGGAAGTCAGCCCCGCGGTGTCGACCGCCTCGTCGCTCACCAAGAACAAGATAACGAAGAAGAAGAAGTCCACGACCGCGAAGAAGGCGGCCGAAGCTTGCGCGAAGAGAACCGGCGAGAGCGCGAAGAAGACCAGCGCCAAGGTCAAAGCAGCCGCGAAGAAAGCCACGACGACGACGCCGCCGCCGCCGCAGCCGCCGCCGCCGCAAGTGAAGCCAGCGATGTCGGCAAGTGGCTCGCCGAGGAATACGCCGGTTCAACGCCCGGCCGATCTTCAAAAGCTGTTTTACACCACGCCGGCGATTCTGCTCACGGCGACTCCGCGCGACTTGCGAAAAGTCAGGCGGGCCAAAGCTAAGAAGAAGAAGCCACCGACGAGGACGCCGTCGATGAGTAGCGACAGCACCGGAAGTACAAGGAGTACTGCGACCACCAGTACCGAGGAGGGTAGCAATTGCGAGGAAGATGTCGAACAGAAGAGGCTTAATTCGACGAGGAGCAATGATTCAGGGTTCGATGGATCGCCAAGACTTTCCAGTACGATTCTTGTGTATTTTTTCGGCGATCCCGCGAGGCGAAATGAGAGGACGACTGTATGTCGTTGTTCGCGCTTTTTTTCGGTTCAGAATAATATTGTACCCAGACCTTGTTTTCATCCAGCTTTCCAACTTCTTTCTTATTCAACGACTATGTGAAATCATTTCAAAGAATATTCTTACGGAACTCGGCTGGATTATACGTTTAGATATATACGATATATGCATAAAAGTTTTCTGAAGACTTGTTGGACAACTTAATACGGTGCATCAACAGGGATGCTAAAAATATTGGAGATAAAAAAGCGTTTCAAAACAAATGTGATTGACACACATTCTGTCCTCTCTTTTCAGCTTGATCCTTTGTTTTCAACTCTTGATTGATTTACGTTTCTTTTTTGTTACTAAATTCGTGACAGTTTTATGTGATTGATAACATTGTGGCAGACATATCGTTCATATATTATTCAAATTGAATATTTGATCCAATTACTTTGTCATTGAAATCAATTTAAAAATTACTATCGGATACGGGATATACTGTAGATCGATATCATTGGGTTAATCATACAAACACATACGGACATGCATCTTTAATTAACGATACTTCTAAATTAGACACGTCGGGGTTGTCTTTACATGGCTGCGGCGTGAACAAAAATTGTCACAAAATCATAGGGAAACAGCCCGAGTTGGCATGCATATATACGCGAGAAAAGAGATTTTGGCATGGGTATGTGTATACTTGAAAAAAAAAGAAAAAAAAAACAATTCACGCTAGGAATGCTAAGGTGAGCGTTCATGATCAATGAGTAGCACATGAGCGTGCTTAGATAACGTGGCGTTCTGCCGAAACTACGATATTTATTAGTAGTAGTTCGCGGTCGGGTTTCATTCATTGACCCGTTGGTGCCAGATAGAATCAAAAAGTCAGCAGGTAAAGCTAGTAGCTGCGACAGTTATTCAAGCTCCTGAATATTCGTTTTTCAAAAAATGCGACGAATGATATTTTGATGATACGAAACGAATGAATTAGATTGCGACATGGTCTGCCACAAAAAGTGTGAAAAACTAACTGGCAACTTGTGTGGTCTCAATCAGAAGCTCGTTGCCGAGGCTTTGCAAGCTCTAAAAAAAGGTGAGTCATATGTTTTCCTGTCTTCCATTATAATGCTTTCATTCATGCCGATCAATCAGTCATATTTGCGCCTTTTGCTCAGCTGGCTTCAGAAGCATCTGTACAGGTTCATCGATCGTTGCGAGCAGACAACGCCATAAAGAAAATAGGGTGACGCGGAGAGTCGGTGCTCGTCCGGTACTTGCTGTTTCGAGGTTGCGTTGTCGTACGTAAAGCACCGTCACCGATTGCTTGTCGATTGCACACCCCGCAAATAGGAGTGCAATTCTGAAGAGGAGTCGCGTCGCGCGCCGAATCGGCTGGCTCCGTGTTCTTTTTCTCGCCGACTGCCGGCTCGGCATTTCCCAATTGCGAGTGACAAACGCGAACCGAGCGAAACGCGCGTCAGAATGAAGCTCGCGAGAGGCGAGGAAAACGAATAGAGGCCGCCGCCAACCGAGCGAACGTTCGAGAGTTCAAAATCCTCGCACTTCCGCAAAAGCACTCGCGCAGCTCGCAGCGAGTATCGTTCCCCGAGCTTCGCTGGCTCGCGCGCGTCAATCGCGCGAGCTTGGCAGATCGCGTCCCTCGGAGCTTGTAACGCACGATCGGCGCGGGATTCTATTTTTGATCGCTTTCGCAGTCCACGCGGGCCTTTAGCTCTTCGCGCGTCATCGATCGCAGCGCTTCTATAGCGCGGGACTCGAGACCCACCCTGTCGACAGAGACAGCGGCGCAGGCACGTATATCACGGATTTTACGCGACGTACCGCGTCGGACGGATCGCCTTTGTTCTTTTCAGAAGAAGCTTTCTTTGCTTTTTTTGTTTGTACCGGCGGCGTTTCTTGTATAATCGTACGACTCTTTGACTCTTCTTTTCTTTGGATGTCTTAAATTTCATATGTCAATTATATTCAATTAACTAAATAACATTACATTGGAATTACATCCGAACAGTGCGATGACTTGTATGATTATTTTTATTTTTATTTTCCATTTTTCGGACTGTAAAGATTTGTCTTCGTTCGAATATGCTATCAATGATTTATTATAACTTTAGATTGAAAATTTAATAAAATAGAAGACGAAAATTATTATTGTTTATTGAAGAAATTTTAACTTCAGCACATTTAGTAAAATAAATTTCGTATATTGATAGCTTGGATTCAAAAGATTACTTATGAAAACCAGAAAAATAATCGGGTATACTGTTTCACGCAACGCAAAGAATTGGGATATCAGGCTTTAATAATAATATCTTGGTTTTTCCCTTCCTAGTTGGCTCGCATCAATCTATTCCGTTTCGACGCAATGTTAACGAAGTTATTCTTTAATGACGCCAGCACAGATCAATTTTTTAAATAAAAAAAGAAAACATTTAATTAGAACTTTTTAAAAGTGAAAATAGTTTGAAATTCAAAAAATATATATGTATATATGATAAAATGTTGAACAAATTGACAAAAGGTAACGCAATCCAAGTCTCGGCTATGAAATCGCACCAGCGCTTCAATCAAATTGCAATCTAAAACATCAAACAAATAAAAAATAAGGAAGATTATCGTAACCTTGAAATCGACCACCATCGACCGATCACCTTTTCTCGCTCACGATCATCTTCGCGTATTCGCGGTAGAGAAGATAAGTCAGGGAGGGGCGCGCACAATAATTGGCACGAGTTTCGGAGCTGCTCTTCATGTGAAAATCGGAAAGTGCAGCGGACCAGTGACTACGCGACGCTCCAAGCGCGAGGAGCGCTAAGAACAAAAAAAAAACAGTTTTCGTACTTCGAATATCACGTGTTGTATTCGCTATGGCCGTCGCTGCTGAAGGTTTCAAAATTTTTGAGACAAGTGTACCGAAGAAGCTTTATCTGGACTGATCTGTTGTTTTTCTCTTCGAAGACAAAGATTATTGGTGGTCGGAGGAAGTGATTGAATTCCCGGTGGTTCGGTCGCTTTTTTTCCGGTATAACAATGGCTGACGTACGAAAATTTGCGCGACGCACGCGGCCGATTTTATTGGGACGGCAGAGGCTCGACGAAAAAAATCCAAGTAGCAGCAGCAATAATAGACGATGACCAGGAAAACGAGATGTAAAATATCGCTGGGATATTCCATTAAACTACGCAGCGCCGTGCGATGTTTTCGTTAAAGCTATTAAGTCAATAACCCACGAAATTCCTCAGGGTGGAACGTGAGAGTGTTCGCAAAAATAAACAGGCCTTTTCTTCGTCGTCGTGAGTCTACGTTTTGCGGCGAACCGATAGCCAACCGTGCTTTTGCGATCAATTAAGCTGGCGGATTATTTTCGGTGCCAATTCGTGCTCGCGGCGCTAGATTAACGAACAGGACTTCTCAACGCATCCAACTCGCTTTCTCTTGCTATCGCGATATTCGAATATTGCCTAGTTAAATTTAGAGGATGCTCCGGCAACTGAGGTCTTTCATTCGACAAAGAAGTACGCAATAGTGGCGAAATACTCGGGCTATTTCTTCGCGTGGCACATTAGTAATCTGTATTAATAAACTGCGCTTTCTAATAGCTTTATCGCGTTATTCCCGCGAAACGACGCGACAACTGCATCGTACGACGCATTGTCTCGCGTATTCATTTAAAACGTCGCGTCAGCGTGTCGCTCTAATATCCGTGCAATTGACAGGCAGGCGAACGACCAGGTTTCGTAGAACGTATTCGAGTCTGTAAATCTTCGAGCGTTCAAATCTACGTAAATGTCAAAAGATTACACGATTCGGGACAAATCTTCGAGAAAACAACACAATCAGTCCGAGACGCATGGCGTCTCACGTGGTCAAAATTCAGGTCCAACGTACGCACGTGTCGGCAGGAAATCGTTTGTTCGACGGCGATTGCGTCCCTACGGTTATTACGGTTGTGTCGAGGACACATGCAACCAGCGGCTATCACAATTACAACGTAAGGATGAGCCTTCTCGTGCTATTTTTGCTTATGCTTCCAAAAGTAACGTCACGTTTGATTCGTTTTGTTTTTCTCGGTGAAGGGGTGGGGGGGGGGGGGGGGGGGGGGGGGGTCAGCGATACCATTATCCGACGATGAATTGTGCTCGTCGCACTAGAATCTAACCAATGATATACCGAAAGAATCGCCCGCGACCAAATTTTTCCTATGGCTAACTGGACTAGAGATCTCGAGCGCCCGAAGAACAAACAGTCGCATTATATTTTAGCGAAAAAGTTATTTGCAGAGCTCTTTTAATAGATGTTATATCTTTTCCGTGTTTATGACAAGATGTGCAAAGACGAGTTTTCGTTTCGCATGATTTATGAATAAACTGATGTTTTTTCTAAGTTAATAATTTCGTCAACGAAAAGTCACGTGGCTAGACGTTCTGGATTTCCAAGAGCGTCGAATTTAGATTTCCCGTCGGAAGACGCTTTACGGTCCAGCGGACGTTTCGAAAGCTTCATCGGTATCATTTTGGGATTACCGACACGATTTGGTAACGCGTTAAAGTACTGCACCGAAATAAACTGGCTTACGCGTGGATTACACAGTTTCTCTTCTTGATTTTTGAGTGTTATTTATTGTTTCGTAATTTAAAGAAATTATTTCGTTTGAAATTCAACAGAGTCGGATACATTCGAAATGATCCATTTGTAATGTGCGAAAGAAAAAAAAAGAAATCATCGGTTTCTGTCCAGATTCATCACCGGTGAGAGTCCAGACAGACACACGCGCTTAAACCCGCGATCGAAGCAATGCACAAGCGCTGAGCTCAACCTTGAAAGAAACTTTGAAAATCCTCGTCGCTCTTCACCCAAGACGACCTGTTAGCTTGGTTTCATCGCGCCGGAAAAGACAGCGCGTCGCTTGCTCTATCCCTCCCTCTCTCGGTCTTTCTCCATTCCCAAATCGAACGCACTATGCCAAGTCTATTTCCGCGATAGGCTAGCCGGCCAAAAATCGAGATTAAGGGCTCAGCGCTTGCAAAGCGAACGCGCGAGTACGTTGCCTTCTCCGTTGTAGTAGGCGGTCAAAATAGAAATGCGGAACTAGCGTTCGTGCATATTGCGCACGCGTCTTGGAATGCCGCGAGTCTGCTGAACTGCCGCGTATACTTGTGAAGACTGGCTTTGCAATCATTTGAAAATTCGCTTTGAATCGAATTATTTCTTATGGGTTCGTTGCGCAGCCAACGCCTCATAATGGTTTTCTCAAGCGATGCTATAATGCGGACGATAAAGTTCATCGATGTGAATCGGGCTGAAGACTCAATTTTGAGTCAGATATCACTAAACGACACTAGTTTCGATCTACATCGGCTACAAGTACAACGGTAATCTAGTTACGTTGAAAATACAATGAGGCGCATAACGAGGCTTTTCGAAAACCAAAGATCTGCGAGCGATGAGTCGCTAGTAACAGCATCGACCAACGGAAAAAGACGGAGAGATAAAAACGTTAGGGGGAAGTGCATAGAAGCGAGAGCGCGCGTGCGATGTCTGAGCTTTTGCATCAATATTTTTAGAATAGGCAATGTTCCACATCAGTTTGCGGTGCATCGCGGCAGTGCTCTCGCTGCGTGTTTGCAACGCATATACATACGCGCATCTAGCTATACCGCGTATAATCGCTTCATCTCACGCAACACACATCTTTAACCGGCTTTTGTTCTATGTACGAAGCGGCATCCATGCTATTACTCATTAACCGACTTTACATCTGCTGCAGCGGCGTAAGGTATTTTTTTCTTTTTCTTTTTCATTCTTTGCATCAATTCGATTTGTTTGACTTTCATTGCGACAATTATTTACTTTACGCGATAACTGTCATACGTTTTTCTCACTGCTGATCGATGTTCGGTAGCCGGAGCGAAAATTTATAAATGTTGTTCATGTTTTTGTATAGCACCGTCGCAGTCGGCGGAAAACCAGCGGAATGCCGAAGGCGATCACTTTCACCACAGTGGTAGGATAACTCCGCCGGCCACGAATCTACCTAGGTTCAAGAAGTACGAGGTCACAGACTTTAATTTCCTCAAGGTTAGCAGCGTGAAATTTTCGCGTCGATCAACTATGCAGAGCCGCCAAACTCGCGGGAATCTCGGCGAAACAATGGACAGCCCTGTCCCATTTTCGAATATGCGCCTCTCGATCCGAATATCACCGAATTAGCGACTCAATAAAGCCGACGAAAAGCTAAATTCGCGCGCGTCGAAAATAATTTTCCAAAGCGCAACGGCCGGTTAAATGCGCGCGTCGCGCCGTCCGACTCCCGCAATTAAGGAGGTTGCGCGTCTTCCCGCGTCCAATTTTACTCGCGGGCGTTTCGCGGAAAGTATTGCAGTTTGCTGAGCGCACTGACAAGGAAAACTGGCAAAGCGCTGGTTCTCGAGTGACGCGCACGCGCAATGCGAAAGCAATCGGCGTTCTCGAGATACTCGATTCGTTTCCGAGGGATGCGCCAACGGAATAACGAACGAACGTTGCAGGTCCTCGGCAAAGGTAGTTTCGGCAAGGTGCTGCTCGCGGAGCTGCGCGGCACCGAGTGCGTCTACGCGGTGAAATGCCTGAAGAAGGACGTGGTGCTGGAGGACGACGACGTGGAGTGCACGCTGATCGAGCGCAAAGTCCTGACGCTGGCCACGCGACACCCCTATCTCTGCCACCTGTTCTGCACCTTCCAAACCGAGTCGCACCTGTTCTTCGTGATGGAATACCTGAACGGCGGCGATCTCATGTTTCACATACAAAAGAGCGGCAGGTTCTCCGAGCCGAGAGCCAAATTCTACGCGGCCGAGATCTGGTCGGGGCTGATTTTCCTGCACAAGAAGGGCATCGTCTACCGGGATCTGAAGCTGGACAACGTGCTGCTGGACTTCGAGGGCCACATCAGGATCGCCGACTTCGGCATGTGCAAGCTGCAGATATTCCTGGACAGAACCGCCGACACGTTCTGCGGCACACCCGACTACATGGCCCCGGAAGTACGCACGCGCGCGCGCCGCGCGCGATGCCAAGCGAGCCGAACGGACGCGCCTTCAGCTTTGGCATTTTTAACGTTGCAGATCATAAAGGGGCTGAAGTACAATCAAGCGGTCGACTGGTGGTCCTTCGGCGTGCTCCTCTACGAGATGCTGACCGGCCAGTCGCCGTTCTCCGGCTGCGACGAGGACGAGCTGTTCTGGAGCATCTGCAACGAGAGGCCGTTCATCCCGAGGTACCTCGGCCAGAGCTCCACCGACATGCTCGTCTGCCTGCTGGAGAAGGACGCGGGCAAGAGGATACCCGGCCACGAGATCGCCTGCCACCCGTTCTTCTGCGTAAGCGCACAACATTCGCGGTCGTTACGGGCGCCGACGCCACTTGACCAAACTGTCTTTCCCCGTCGGCAGAACATCGCCTGGGACAAGCTGGAGAGACGAGTGCTGGAGCCGCCGTTCAAGCCGGCCGTCGAGCACACGCTGGACACGCGGTACTTTGACACGGCCTTCACCGCCGAGCGCCCGAGACTGACGCCCGTGCCCGAAGAGATACTCACCTCGATGGACCAAGCCGTCTTCCGCGGATTCTCGTACACGAATCCGAACGCCACCGACTGAGCCGACATGGTTCTCGTGCCTTTTTCGAATAACGCGGGCGCGACACCTCGGCTCCGGTGTCTTTTGCTTCGAGGGCCTCCGCCTCGCGTGTCGGTCTTGTCGCGCTCGTCGCTGAGTTGTTTTTTACTATGAAAGCTTCGCGGTTCGACGATCAACGAACCCGAAAGTCTTTTCAACGCGGTGCCACTTCTTTGGCCCTCAAAATCGTCGTACAGACGAGTGACAGTCCAATTGAAATTCTTCGAACCGGAAGACACGACAAGGCTTCACGCGCGATCGCCGAAATTTATCGAGTCGCGTTAGTTCTCCGCGAACCGATGCGTGATTTTTATTGTGCGACGGAGCGATCGATTTCTAACAAACTCGCGATTACTCCAGCTAAAAATGCAATTTATCTTCATTGGTTCTTAACATCAAATTGATCTTCGTTGAACATCTTCTTCTTACAAGCATGAGTGAAAGAGGAGATTTGGATGAATCCTTGGGTAGTACGAGAATAATCCGTCGAGGGCTGTAGTGAATGAAAAACGAAATGTTTCTCACGATATCACTTTTGAAATTTCAACAGTGCAGAGCATTCTCGAGAGAGAGACTACGACTAGTCTGCTCGAAATGTAATTGTAAATATAAAAAGTATTAGACATACTACGAGGTGTTATGCGTTTTGTAATACGCAAAAAAAAACTATACTATAGTAATATTTGCAGATACACTACACGATTATTTATACCGATTTTTCTTATTTTCTGTTTCGCCTTATCTACTTAATTATTAAGTCTTCCGTTGACTGATATATATTTTCTTTTTTGTTATTATACACTGTTTATTGTTGGGAAAAGAATGTTGATCGAATAACAATTCTATGTGATACATATTGTTCGCGTCAAAAGAAACATTGTATTATTGTTATATGAGTCTATATATACATAAAGTTTATCATTGTGTTGAATTTTTTTAGATGTTAAACTAAATTCTGATTGTTTGGACTGTATCTTAAAAATTTGTACGCTTAATTTTACGATCAATGGTTTATGAACTTTGTCAAAAACGAGCTAACTGAAATCGATAAATAAAAAATACAAATCTATATGTATCGTCATTTCTAATACTCTATTGTTTCACATTATTATATGGCTTCAAAGTATTGCATTTTGTAAAAATTGAAACACACGTGCCAGGACTAGATTCGATACATATAAACTATCCGAATGCGTTAAATAATTGCATCGTTATTATAACATTTGTCGATATAACCGAATCTTTCCCTTTTGAATTTTACGACTAACGACATACATCGAAGTTCCTTACAGAAATAACAAGTAAAGTTTTCAAATTGAAATAATTTTTCAGTCTTGCTTCAGCAAAGAACTGATAACGAGTATGCGTGAAAGGGGCAAGTTATGTGCGCTAATTTTATACTGCAGCCGCGAGAAGCGAGAAATTGGCAGAGTGAGCTTGCCAAGCGACGTGCTATGTGCATTTACCACTTTCGAAGTCGAGTTTCAGCCGTCGCAACGAAGATGACTTGTCTATATTCGAACTTTGTAAATTCTAATGACAAAATGCTTGTCACATGCGCGCCAATTTACGATGGTGGGTTTTGCTTGCGAGAAAAATTGATAAAGAGTTCGTCGAATACAAAGATATATATCTATATTTGTATATATGGGTCATCACGGTGTCGATAATTGATTAAATTGGCTCGTGGCTTGAAGTGATCAACTGTAGGTAAAAAAGTATTTGATCAATTGAAAAATACAATTCAATAGTAATAATGTATAATTATAATTCAAGCGAATATTGTAAAATAATTTAATTGACTTTTTACTAATGACGAATGACTCATCATTTAAATTTGATCCTATGAAGGCTTAATAGAATTGTAACTATAGGAGTACCTTCGGTTCAGAATTACGTTGATAAGGTAGATGCTCTGTAAGAGTTTACTACATTTATTCTAAACTCATTTGCCGTATCATCGTCATCTTAGCTATTTTTGAAATAGAGAGACCCCGGTAATTTGTCGATGTAAGGATGCATCCGTTGTAAACAACAAAACGCTATACCTAAATTAATTAGTACTCGAATAACAACGTGTTCTTCTTACTTTATCTTCCTATCGGAAATTGATTTCAGAACAAGACTATATTTCATTTTTACACAAACTTGGGTTGGCTCATGATCGAATCGAAAGTGCGAATTGAAATGAAAGTAATTACATAGCACATCTTTTTATTTAAATTTTCAGAATTGATGAAGATTCCGAATTAGCCCTGATAAAAATTTCCGTAAAGCCTTTCAGACAACAATTTCAAGGATCAAATTGGCTATTCTTCGCCTAGAACCATCTTAATTAATAACCACTGAATGGGAATGATTTAAATCTAAAATTACTTGAATAATTATAAAAGTATTATGAAAATAATGTTATCGCAGTAAACAGTTATTTAGATTGCCTCTACATGCAGGAATTCAGCTTATTCTTTGAAAGACTTTTTAATACAAAAATATTCACCCATTTTTGAATAAACAATCAATCCATTATTATTGAAATTTCACTAATTTAATATGAATTGTTTCCTTGGTGTAGTTGATTTTGAAAAATGTTCATACAAGTGTATTATCGACACTATGAAGGACCATACATATTTTATTGGCCTCGATTTTCAGATTTTCAGACGACACAGAGATAAATTGCAGAGGTTTAACCGTGACACCAACAAAGTTGTGCCAGGTACTAGACGATGGGCTTAAGGAATTTATTTTATTGACAATTATAAATTTCGAGGAATTAATGCCCTAAATTATGAAAAAACAATAAAATAAAAAAAGTTAAAATTAATGAGATAAAATTATAGAAAATCGGGAATTAAATAACCGATTAATTTTTTTTTCAAATATATTTTCCCATATATTTCTTTTATTTTTATTCAAGCAATCCAAAGAAAGTTATTTTGCTACTTATATACCTTATTAGAGGGAGAAGGCGATGAGAGAATTTCGAAGATCATCAGTTACGGCGGTGTTTTATTCACGATCTGTGTGTACATATCGTAATTGTGACTCTTCTTTTTGTACTATTTCTGTGTTTGTTGGATATAGAAATAAACATTAAGACTGGAAAATGGCAATAGGTTGAGCATTGCGTTGTACATTTTTACAATTGCGCTACATATACACATTTTATAAATAGATACTTCGGGCGATCCTGGAAATGTTTACTTAATTTGTGAAGAGTTGCTTAGAAAACCCCAGCTGGCTTCCTATTGATCAGCAAATTAATTATATCAAAAGTAATATCTTTATAACGTACCTGCGAACTGTAAAAAGGCACTAGAATGCATCGTGAAAATATGCAGAAAAATGGTTCTTGCGTTAGGAATTCCCTGCGATCCACGAGAGCGTTGGATGACGACAAGCCTACTCGAAAATAGATCGTAATGTAATCTCGGAATAAGCGAACGAAAGTATGACTTGGCAGTCTAAAAATAAGTCGAGAATAATAAGCCCTTGATTTTCTCGATGTATTTTTCACATAATTATAGCAGTATATTTACTGATACATCTGATAATAATAACATAATAAGTCATAAAAATAAATGTGTCATTAATATGAAAATATCATTATTTGTTGAATAATTAGGTCGGTAAGACATTTGGAGTTAGTCCTGATCAGATGCAGACACATGGCGTCCTAAAAAGAGAAAAAGATTGATACGCAATGCCGGAAAGTCAGCTGGAAGCGGAGGTCACTAGAAATAGCTTCCAATCTAAAATTTCATCGTCAACAAGAATTCACGTTTATTGTGGAAGTGAATACGAAAGCTGACGACGTGAAGTGATATTCGTTGGTGGCTCTTCAAGACGTTCGATATAAGAACAAATCACCATGGCTCTAATCGCAATAAAACTTAAATTCTGATTATTTTTAATGGGCATCCGATTTTCAGCAAGATTATACGTATAGCGCGCATTCCAAAATTATCAAAAAGAGTCCGACGATAAGCATTCTCAAATTCAATTTCTCCGCTATGGAACACGCGAATAAGAGGCTGCGAGAACGTCCAAGCGTCTCTATCAATCCAATAAATATGGCGAAGAAATTGTTACCGTGAAAAATCAGCAATGATCTGAACTTTTTCGGGTCACGAAATAAAGCAATTTTTTAAACTTTTCAGGTCACGGATTATAGCATTTTTTTGGCTCGAGCTATCAAAAATATATATAAATTCTGACTCTGATTAGAAAGACGAAAGAAAAAATATTTTATAAAATGAATTTTTGTTAACTTTGTAAATAAAACCGTTTTCTAATCAAATTACATGAGTACATAACATTTTGCTATTACTAAATAAAAAAACAGTAGAACGACATCACTTGCCCAGAACACTTTTCCGTTATACCAGAACGCTTGGAAACTTCAAAATATGGAAATCTTACAGAATGGTTTTTTACATTATGTCGTTTACCTACGTATAAACAAGGCCAATACAGGTGATTTTTCCATTTGACCACGATTTTGTCGCTTTATTCGAAAGGGTCCTTTTGAACCAAAGGCTTATTTGATCCTTTTTGATCCTTTTGATCCTTAAGTGCATGTCTACGTCCACGACCGCCATCGCGCCTAATGCTAGTTTCTTTAGTTTCTCGGAAACGTCAGCGACATCTTTGTTATTTTTGTTATCTTCGATATCCTTGACGTCTTTGACGTTGGAGTCTTTGACGACGGAGTAGGTGGTGCTGGATCCGTCCTCTCCATTAACGAAGAAAAGCCATCAGCTTAGTTTTTTAACGTGAAAAGTGACCAAAAAATTGTTTTATCATGTTACACAGAAAAGCAAACCAATTGTTTTATTGGGGAAAAAATAATAAAAATTGCTTTTAGATCTACTGGCGACGTATGTCGCCGACGTAGCATATAACGCCAGTCATATGTAGCTAGTCTATGAATTAGAAAAATTACTATTCTATGAAGAGGAAAAGTAAATGAGGTCGTTATTTACCGACACGTTCAAACTGCTCCTCCAACTCGCGGCTATACTGTATGCCTCCGTAGAATCTATCATTTCTAATTATTGCAAAATTACGTAATTGAAAATCATGATGAGGTTTTATTAGTTAAATTATGTAAAACATATTTTTAAAAAGAACACCCTCCAAACCCTTGACCAGTCAACTTTGATTGAAATGCAGAAAGTCTTGAAGAGCCGGATGCGATTTCCTTAAATCATTGCTACTGCCGCTGACTTCACGTGATCTCGAATAACTGAGGACAAGAATGTGGAAGAGCAGCCATGACACCTGCTCAGGAACTCGGTATGTTGCTATTGACAAGATTAAAATAGCCATAATTCTTGCTATTTTATCTTTATAGAAAATAGATTAGTAAAAAGTTTTTTTTTTCCATTTGTCAGAAATGAGAGACTTTACCTTGAGACAAGGACACGGTGACAGTAATCTTGAAGAAACTTTCCGAAAAGAAATTGATTAAGCCTTGAAATCTCAACAGCATACTTATCCTTTTTATTTAACAAGTATCTTTATTTTTCTTTTAGCATGTACTGTGTAAAGGACATAACGATTCATCTATCAGGAAATGAGAAAAATTCCGGGATTAGTAATAAACTCGAAGAAGAAAATAATTTCTCATAAGTTTACGATAGACCAATCATCACAAGCCCACAAGTAAACATTCATTAATTTACTCTTTTAGACATAGAGCATTTGGCAAATCAAGTAGAGCCAGCAATACAGAAGTAGCACTAAAACATTAATCTACACTTAAGTCTTGAGTCTTCCTCGTGGATGATTTTTAATTGATTCTTGGCTCCTATCATCGTAGTCGTACAAGAGTTCAGTGCCAATCGATATATCAGTTTTTGCAAAAAACACAAAATGAGGTTGTTCCTTTACTTCGAGAACTCCAAGTTTCAACATTTTTTTGGGTTAATGATCGATAAATTTGCCCAATTTTCCAAAGTCTCTTGTGGCATCGACGCTGCAAGAATTTCATTATTATCACGATTTTTTCATTTAATTATTATCAAGACCGCGTATCCGCAAGATCTACCAATATATCTTATCCTTGTACTTGAAGTAGTAGATGATTGTAG